AAGACAATAAAAAAACTAATAATGTTGTGTCAATACCTGCTACATTAGCTGCTGAGATACTGTTATTTGACCCTGTGTTTTTATTCAGCATTTGAAGAATCTGCTCATACTGACTCTTTGTAAGAGCATAGTTTCCCAGTTGATTCATAGAATTCTCAGTGATTGAATTGTTAGAACAACTTCTACCCGTGGTCTGTTCATTCACATTTGTATTATGTCCATAGTTGAAGGCAGACACTTGTTGGTGATCTTGAGCAGATGAATTATACACAGATTACCATTTTCTGTTAGTAGGTTGACATTATAGGCTGCATTTGTACGAACATTTCCTCTTCTTTTGTTCTTGAAATCTGCAAGGTATCCAACAATTTTATAGCAATTTTCTTTGCTATGTCCATTAATTCATAATACGCATTATAATTTCTTCTGAATCTTTGATTCTGATTTTGATTTCCTCCAACCTTAGAGTACATAGCAACTTCAGAACTTCCCATTTGACTTGTAGGATTAGCTCCCAAGATTCATGTGGTTGCAGCAACAGATTTTTGTCCTTCATCACTCACAATCAAGGCATATGCCTGATTCACAATTGGAATAGGACTTCTAATCAGAATCTGACTCCTAGCTTGAGAATAGGAGTCATTTAATCCCATCATGAACTGATATAGCTTCAATTTCTGCAAGTAAGTCACAAACTCTCTTGATTTTGGACAGTCACATCCAGGTGCTGGTACCACGGCCTGAAATTCTTCCCACAGATCTTTCAGCTTTGAAAAGTACACAGAGACTGAAGTTGTTCCTTGTGATACAGTAGCTATTTCCTTATGCAGATTATAAGTTCTTGAGCCATCAACTTTGTTAAACCTTTCTGCTAGATCTTCCCAAACAACTTGAGCACTTGATGCGCACATGATCCCTCCAAGAAGACATTTAGCCGATGAATTCATGATCCAAGAAAGCACAATCGCAGTCACTCTTTCCCAATTATTCCACATGATTTCTGGAAATTTTTCTTACTTGCATGTGCCATCAACCATAACAAGTTTATTTCTTCCTAACAAAGCCACTCGCATAGACTTAAACCGGATAGAATAGTTCTCAATCCCAGTCAATTGTAATGATATGATTCTGAATTCTGCTTACATTTGTAGCAGACATAACTAGGGGATGAGTAGCTCTAGTAGATTGAATTGCATGTTCTCTATTTAACTAAATTCCTGGACTTTGACCCAATGAGTCATCAGTTATCGTCATTTTCTTGCTAATTCAAGAATCAATCAGAACTGATATCAACCTTTTAGTAGAAAATGAACAGAAATAGAAATTAGAGTTTAGGATCGATACACAAGCTAGAATTTCAAGCTTGATTGCTCTGATACCATGATGTAATTCATTGTGTAGCAATGATTATAGTTTCAGAAGAAGAAGGAAGAAGAAGAAGATGGAGCAGTCGTTGAGAGAAAACAGAGATAAGAAATGAGAGCTTATTTTCATTACTCAAAAAGTGTACTCTAAATACATTCCACTATTGCCTTTATACACTTTTCATTAACCATGTATTTGGCTTCCTAACTAACTCCTAACCATAAACTTAACTAACTCTCAGCAGTGATTAACGGCTAGCTAACTATTTCAATATACAAAGATTGTTATACCCTTTACATTATTTAATAGAACCATGCGATTTTCAATTAATTTGAATCCTAATGATCACTTTAACCATTAAGCTGATCAGATAAGTTTTCTCCATTCCTTGTTAACTATCCTTAAAAATGGTTAAAAGAAAGTAGAAAACCAATATCGCTATCCATGAGGTCAGGTTTGACGGAAGACATGCATCTTAGTCTGGGGCTGATAATTGGACCTTGGGCCTAACTCGTCCCCAAAATCTAGCTCAGGAGGTGAGGATTGCCCAAGTCCATATAAGGAGACCACTCATCCCCTTCATTGTCAATGTGGGACTCAACACCCCCTCTCACGCCCAAGATTGGACATCTGGAGCGTGGACAACTATGGGGGCCCAACAGCGGAAAATCGGGATGGGTCCTGCTCTGATACCATGATAAATGGACCTTGGGCCTAACTCAACCCCAAAAGCTAGCTCAAGAGGTGAGAATTGCGCAAGTCCATATAAGGAGACCACCCATCCCCTTCATTGTCGATGTGGGATTCAACAGGAGCGAAGCCATAATTTCAAACTTGTGGGTTTCAGAATTTTAATCCATTTAAGTTACTGGTGTTGCATTAAAAATGATACATATTAAATAAAATTTTAAAAGGCAAATACAAAGTTTTAACCAAAGCTTCTAGGTTCAGTCGATCACACAACTGGCACTCTGGCTCCGCCCCTGAGCTTAGTACGTAACATATATTGACAATAGATTAGAGAGTGCTTAAATCAACAAAAGAAGAGGGAGGGTGGGGGGGAGAGGAACAGGACCTGCCAGAGAATTAAAGCAACTGAAAAAATAGAATCAAAGGGTGTAGTCAAGTAGTCTAGCGGTCAATAAAATTATTGAGAATCATGAGATCTCACATCTTATGTTCAAATTTTAACGGGAGCAAAAATACTAGTAGATGATACTTTTTATCTGTTTAAGTTTTGATGGACAAAGTTATTCCGTATAAGAAATAGCAAATACCTCATATTAAAATTGGTCAAGGTACGTATAAGGATAGGGAAAAAAAGAGAACATATATGCAGCTGAAAACATGCCATGTGGTTGGTCAATGGTGTTTTCGAGTACGTACTAATTAAGACAGGTAAAGAAATAAAATGATGGAACGAAAGCCATTGATAGATCTGTTAAGTAGCTTATGAAATTGATTCATTAGTCATGTGACATGCATTGTTATGAATTTATATCTTTTATAAATTGGGTCCGCTTAAATCCATTTCTTTTATCCAACAATTTGTCTGTTCCACTTCACAGTATTGACAACTACTTAAAGCCGGAATATTTCTTGAATAAAACATTTAGAACGATTTATTAAGTTAAAATATCATGGTATAGCCAGTTTTCACACTGGTCAACGAAAAATAGCCAGCGTTTATCAAGTCAATGAAAAATAGCCACTATTTTGCTGCAACAGGGACCGGTCCAGTATAATATACGGGAGTTCTGGTGCATTTGTGTACGAACTCCAGCATATTATGCTGGACCGGTATACTTTGCTAACTCCTGTAAAATTTGCGGGAGACTGGAGCACCAGTGCTCCAAACTCCAGTATATTATACTGGACAATTATACTTGCTGGAACTCCCGTAAAATTTGCGGGAGTTCCAGCATAATTATGCTTGAACTCCCGTAAAATTTGCCGGAGTTCCAGCATAGTTATCCTGGAACTCCCGTAAAATTTATGGGAGTTCAAGCATACTTATGCTGGAACTCCCGTAAAATTTGCGGGCGTATTTTTCCGGATTTTGAATAGTGTTTTCGCTCAGATTTATAGTGGCTAAATTTCGATGACTTTTGAAACTTGGCTAATTTTCAACGACCAGTGGTAAATCTGGCTATTTTTAAATTTCTTCCATTTATTAACGCACAAAATTCCCCAATTTGATAAAGGGTTTAATTTATATACGTTGATCATGTAATTAATTTTTACACCATCAATATATACATTTTAATATATTATTGCAGGTAATTTATTTTGTTTTAAAGGATTTCGTTATCCTAAAACTATCAGCGAATGAATTTGGTAACTAATGCCACTGCCCAAGAGGTTGAGGAGAGTATCGTTGTATAGCTTTTTTTGCTTGTAGTCACGGCTCTTATCCTTATCCGGCTAACAACTCGATTTTGTTAATTCATTGTTCATTTACCTTTAAACTTAATTTTTGGTCAACGACTTTGATGGTCTTTCCTTAGCACAAAGTTTTTAATCCTTTTTCCATATTGCTAATTAAATTGAGCTTATTGTAAAATATTACTTAATTTGTTATAGGTCAATGTAACCTGTAAGCACTTTATTCATTATCAGCACACAAAAGTTGAACTCGGATTTTTTTTTTTAAAAATAACACATTGTTTAGCGTAGTGATGGCAAAATGGTGTAAAAAAAAAAAACAGTTAACCATCCATATTATCTATTAAAAAATGGATTGGATAATGAATTTTTTTAAAAACGGGTCAAATATGAATAAGAACCATATTATCCATTTAGAAAATGGATAACTAATGGGTTTAACTTTTACATTTGTAAATCCTCAACTTGGGGTTCCTCAAGTTTGGAAGACTAGGAATTCTCCAAAAGTGATCATATTCAAAAAATCATGGATAATATGAATATCCATATCCATATTATTTGCCGGTTAACCGTTTTATCCGTATTAAATATGGGTCAGATCGAATAATTTATCCGTTTTTGCATTACCCGTTTTCGACCCCAGCCGCCCGTTTGTCACCCCTATCCAGAAGCAATGGCTGTTGCTAAAATCTTTAGTACACTCAAATCTGATGCAGGACAAGATAGGCAGTTTCTAACTTTCTTTACCACTGCTAAGTGCTAAGAAAATTAAATCAAGTAGCTTGCAAACCGGTAGTCATTGCACACTAGCTGGTCAGTGGGAAAACTACAATTCAAGTGCAAAAGGTAAAGGAAAAAAGGTAAGAATCCGAATCTCACCTAAATGAGAATGACATAAGAAGTTTTTTTCTGGCATTGCAACCTTTACCACAATTTCTTAGATCGAATTATTTTGTGAAATTGAATTTCACTATGCTTGGGATAGAACTTCTGTATAAACGTATCACCTTCCTATTTAAGTATTTTTAATTACTCTCTAAGGGGTGGATAGAAGGACAATCTTTCCCTATCCATCAACCTGCCAATCAAATGATCTAAACATTAACAGTAACATTTGGACATTACTAGGCTATTATAAGGGTTTGAGAAATAATCGCACAATATTTACATTTCTGCAAGAGGTTGTTTTGATGGTTTGAACCCCATGACCTCATACAGCGACAACTTTTATCTTTGCGCCAAGGCTCCCCTTTAAGCTGAACTTACACACTCTTTCAAATTACTTGGATATTAAAACCTAACATCAGATACTCTGACATTTGTTAGATTATAAGATTCATATACAGGCAGACCCTTTACAAAGAATTACACCACAACCTTTCTAAGATAAGCAAATGTGAGACCGAAAAAGACCTGTGTATTCTACCCGTTAAGTTATCAGAAAGAATATGTCAAAATGAAATACAAATGCAAGAAAGAGCTTGCGTGTAGTTGGCTCAGACCTGAATATGCCAGAATCAGCACAAGAAACATATACTCCTATTCCTTTGTGTGCCCCCTTCTTCAAAGCCCCTCATATACGATCTAATCGATAGATGCTCCGAAGCATATGTCATGAAGGATGCTAAAACAAGGCCTCCTACGACCATCAATCCTAATCTGCAACAACATAAACACAGCATAAAAGATAAACTTTAATTTTTTCTAGTGCCAGACGACACATGTACTGAAAAGTTGAAAGGCATATGGCGTTATCAACTGAGTGAGAACAAATCCAGTGAGAAGTTAATAATGCACTAGAAGGCCATCTGCGTGAAGCCATATGGTTGTAGACAGTAGTTTATATGTGATGCAGCATTTTAGAGGCGTATGCTTTGAATGCTTTAACTGTCTTAGATAATGAATGTAGACATAATCTGAATGTAGACATAATTTTTATAATATACATAGCTAGCATAATTATAGGGATTCACAACAGATTTATAGGATTTCCTTTTTGATTCTTTCCCTAGTTAGGGCTCTATGTACTTGTATATATACTTGTTACTTCTTGAATACAACACAAGAGAGATTTCTCTATTGTCTCTCTACTTTACATGGTATCAGAGCAGGTCTACTGCTCGTCGGAGTTGAGTCGAATCCGCTACCGGAAATTCCTTGGCCGGAAGCTAATCTGAGGTCTTTTTGACATTTCCAGTTGATTTGTGGTGGTTCTGATCATAGAACCACATTTTGGCAAAGAACAACCTCAGACCAGATCTTATTCTCACTTTGTTTGGTCAGGTTTGAGTTTGGTTTATTGGTTATTCGATTTCTTTAATTCTGTGGTATTTTTCTTGGAGGTTGCCTGTGTGAGAAGCTTGCATCTTTATTTTTGACTCACTGTGGTGATCGATTAGTGACTTGATATTGTCTGTTGGGTCTTTCCTTATCAGAAACTTTGTTGCTCTCTGATTTTGTTTGAGTTGGGCACAAATTCGTTTGATTCTCTGATTTGGTTGAGTCGATTATTAAAGTTGAATCCTGTTCAATAAGTTGTTGATTTCGTATCTACCAGGATCTGTTTGGGTATCTTTTAGCTTCGGGGACCTCTGTTAGTTTAATCAGTTTGTTATTGAAAGAAAAAAATGATGGTAAAGAATAATAATGCAAAACTCCTAGCCCAACAATTTTGGTTTCGGATGAGTTTCTAAAATTCCTTCAATATCATAAATCAGTTAAGGAATCTTCTTCAGTTACTGCCTTTGATGGGTCAGATAAAACATGTCTTATCACCTCTTCCAATAAATGGGTGATCGATTCAGGTGCCACAAATCACATGACAGGTAATCCAAATATTTTTTTTAGCTTTCACTCACATAAAACACCCTCTCCGGTTACTGTAGCTGATGGATCAACTTGTAGCAGTGTTGGATCTGGGACTGTTAAACCAACTTCCTCTATTAACCTGTCATTTGTATTAAGTCTACCAAACTTGGCTTTTAACTTGATTTTTGTTAGTAAAATTACCAAAGACCTTAATTGTTATGTTGCTTTTTTTCTGGATCATTGTTTGTTTCTAAATCTTAAGACGATGCAGGTTATTGGTAAAGGATATATATCTGGTTATCTCTACATCCTTGATGAATGGGAGCCACGGTCTGTTGCATGCTCTAGTACCGTGTCTCCTTTTGAAGCACATTGTCGACCTGGACATCCCTCTTTGCCTTCGTTAAAGAAGCTTTGTCCTCAGTTTCAGAATATTTCATCATTGGATTGTGAGTCATGTCGATTTGCAGAACACCATCGCATCTCGTTAAGTCCAAGGGTTAATAAGCGAGCTGGGTCAGCTTTTGAGTTAGTCCATTCTGATGTTTGGGGACCATGTCCGGTTGTTTCTAAAACTGGGCATAAGTATTTTGTCACTATTGTAGATGATTTTTCTCGAATGACTTGGATTTACTTTATGAAGAGCCGCTCTGAAGTGTTTACTCATTTTTCTGCCTTTTGTGCTGAAGTCAAAACTCAATTCAATGCTTCAGTACGTACTCTAAGGAGTGATAACGCTAAAGAATACATGTCAGAGATATTTCAGTCCTACATGAGACAACATGGTATATTACATCAGTCTTCATGTGTTGATACACCCTCTCAAAATGGAGTTGCTGAGAGGAAGAATAAGCATCTACTTGAGACAGCTCGAGCACTTTTGTTCCAAATGAAGGTTCCTAAACAGTTCTGGGCTGATGCGGTTTCNCCTGTAATAATTTTATTTCCTTCTCCATATCAGCGATTAACCCATAGCATTGTTCCCTCTCGGCCTGTAATTCTTTCTCCCGACGGGCTGCTTTTTCTTCAAGAGTATTCATTTTTCTTTTCATGTTGGCGATGGTTCCCTCATAGCTCTTCTTCATTTGTTGTACAAACCGAGCCCTTTCCTCGGTCTTTTTTGCCCATTGTGCCCGAAGTTTTGCCATGCTTCCCTCGGATTTTTCCAATTCTTCCTGACAGTCCAGGACCTGTTTCTTCAACCCTCTTATCAATCTCTCGTCGGATAGACTTCTTTCTCGATTCCTGGCATCTAATTTCAGTTGTTGGATTTGGGCCTTGAGAGCTTCATTCTCCTGGGCCAGTTGCTTTTTATCTCCTTCATCGGCTGCGGCTTGCAAGCTGTTTTCAAACCGAAGCTCCTGAACCTGTTTTTCTAACGCTCCTATTCGGGCTCTATACTCTTTTTCTTTAGCTAACCAATCCCACTGCACCTGAGCCTCGCTGTTAATTGTTGCACATGTGGCCTTTTGGCGGGTCTCTCGGGGATTTGAAACCTTTTACCGAACCAAACCAAGTATTTGGGATCTACCTCACCTCTGGCCCGGTCCTGTACTATAGTTTTAAGCTCAAGGTACCTGCACTCATTCCATATCTTTCGGATTCGGCCTTCAGGGAATGCAGCTTTTGGGCCCAACTCAATGACTTGCCCACTCAGGTCTTCATCGTTGTGCACCGTCTGGAATCTTCCAAATTGTCGCAAAACGCGGTAAGGAGCATAGGGCTGAATGTTTCGAATACCCATCAAAAGAATATAAGGGACCTCTGCTGATGTGTATACAGCTTCAGTAGGAGGAAGCCATCCATAAGCCCATTCCACTTTATCTGCAGTGAGGGATCTTAAACATGACGACCAGGCCTCAGTACCCTCCGGGAACTCAATACCTGTAACTCGGGTCTTGAATTCTGCAATACAACTCAACCCGGTTAAGCCGTAGTTCATGTAACCTGTGCGGTGACAGAGATGTTCCTGTATCCACAAGTGCAAGAGCAAATTGCAACCTTGAAAGAATTTCCCCCCTTCTCGACATTTGGTCAAAGCTCGGTATATTTCTGCTACAATCAGGGGAACCACTGTGCTAGTAGGTTTCTTCATGGCAACATCTAGCATTCCTACTAGGCCAAGGTCTATGTGACCATCTTTTCTAGGACAAATTACCACTCCCAAAAAGGCCACCATGAAGGCTAATCCCCGTCGGGCTTCCCATTTGTCTTTATTTCCAGCATGTGTTAATCCTGTATTGGGTTCCTTAAAACCTTTGGGGTTACCATACCGGTGATATAGGAAATGTAGTGTACAACACCCTTCCGCCAGATGCGGGTCCTGAATATCCCGACTGATGTTCAACAAGTCCAAAAACCTATGAAGAGTTACCGGTCGTGGGGTCAAAGGGTATCTACCGCGGAGGTTCCCGTTGAGACCAGCATATCCGGCAATTTCCTCCAATGTGGGTGTGAGTTCAAAATCTGACAACCGGAATACATTACGGGTCCCAAAATGGTATCAGTGCCTCAATGACATCCTTCCTTGGTCTGATTTTCAATAAATCTACAAGACCGCCCAGGCTTTTAACCACAGTATCTCTGCTTCCTTTTCCCAAGTCATGCCACCACATATGGAGTTTCAAAGGGATCTCGCTCAGGACTGAGAAGGTTTTGATGTCACTTGAATTCATCCTGCACATTTTTTAGGGGAATTTAATGATTTATTTTGAAAAATGGCTATTCGTGCAAAATTCTTTATTTAGAAAATAAGGACTTGGATTTGCAAATACGGCCTTTCAGCACTTCTGGGAGGAAGATTTTAAGGCTGTGCCCGCAAACCATTTAAAAATGACTCAGGGTGGCTATTCTCGCAAAAACGGCCTTCCGGCGTCCTTTTGGGGACATTCGGCTTATTTAAACAGGAATGGCATCACCCGACTTATTTATGACACAAAATTTGGCATTTTTTGGCTATTTTTGAAAAAGGGTGGGTTGGACCCGATGAGCGTTGCCTACGTATCTCACATCCGGTGAGAATCAAACCGGCGTAGTTCGGGCAGATTTGCCAAAATCAAAACCATTTTGAAACCACATTTTTCTTTCTATTTTTCCGAGCAATTTTCTTTTCTCTTTTCATTTTTCAAAAAAGAATCCGGCAGCATTTCGGTACTATTTGGGCATTGGGGTTTTTTCAAAACAAATGGTTAACCTCCCTTACTTAGTCCTAACACTACTTATTTTCTCAATTTTCACTCATTTAGACAAGCCGGTCAACATGCAAATCCGAGCAAATAAATGTGCAAGTAGCACGTAAGATGCATCAGGATGGTCAATTTATTTCAGGTCACCTGTCCTAGACGGACCCAACCCCTGTGTTGAGTCCCCTAAGTCAAATGCACATGATGCAAACAAGCGTCCTACTAGGGATCCGGCATGAGGTTTTGTTCTTCTAGGTTTAACCCTAGGTTTATTGGTCTAGACCTGGCTTACCCGAGCGGACAACTCGAGCCGAGTGGGAGGCAGCGTACCGGGGATACAGAAGCTCCGCCGGCTTTGCAACTTATCCAAACCTCGTTCTAAATGGGAAAAGACTCTAAACAGAAGAGAAACTACACGAAGTGCACCCTTCTCCATGATGTAGAAGACTCAGAAAGAGGATGGGATTCGCGACAGTTTATATATACAATTTCAACAAATATCAAAGCGGTAGAACATTTAGCACATATAGCATGGAACATGTAGAATAATCAGATAAAGCCAGATATAACAATTGTACTAAGCTCGAATTCTTGAACCCTGAATCGAAATTCTGGGTTCGTGTCCCCTGTGGAGTCGCCAGAGCTGTCACACCTCCCTTTTTTACACAC